GTCCAAACCAGGAATCAGTTTAAAAATATATTTTTGATTTCAGAGAAGAAGGGAGAGGGAGAGAGAGATAGAAACATCAATGATGAGAATCATTGATCGTCTGCCTCCTGCATGCCCTCCACTGGGGATCAAGCCCACTGTGACCAGGACATGTGTCCCCCCCCCCAATCAGAATCGAACCTGAATAGGATACATTAAATTGATTTCTTGGCTGCCAGACAGCTAAAGGGCATCTTAATCTACATGTTATTGCCTCCCACTGGCCAAACACCTGAACAGCCGTAGGCTAATTCTCCCCATTCTGACAATGGACTCTGTAGGAAACCCTGACTCTTTGAAGTGTATGTCTCTGCCTCGCCTCAGGACAAGTTGTGTTAATAAAAAGCATGGGGTCCTGGGACAAGGAGACCCTTAGACCTTAGACCTTAGACCAGGGGTCCTCAAACTTTTTAAACAGGGGGCCAGTTCAGTCCCTCAGACTGTTGGGAGGGCCGGACTATAGTTTTTAAAAAAACTATGAACAAATTCCTATGCACACTGCACATATCTTATTTTGAAGTAAAAAAACAAAACGGGAACAAATACAATATTTGTATTTGCATGTGGCCCGCGGGCCGTAGTTTGAGGACCCCTGCCTTAGACCTTAGACCTTAAGACCTTTGATCTTAGAACTTAGCTCCTTCAGCTAGGCTCCTCTCACCCCTAATGCCTTTCAAAATTATGCTTTGTCTCCGGACTCTTATTTAATCTACACACAGCCTTCTCCAGATTCCTGAACCCTTCTAGATGCTGGAACAAGAACCCCGGCACTTGACCTCCTGGTTCATAGGAAAACACTCAACCTCTGAGCCACACCAGCAGGCCAAACCAGGAATCTTTTGTAAGGAAAGAGGTGCTAGTAATCACGCCAGGACAACAGGTGTAAATAAACCAGGACTGTCGCTGGCAGTGAGGTGTGTGGTCATCCTCGGGAAGGGGAATGTGAATTAGGAGACCCAGCTTGCACACCTAACCCTACCCCTTCCGTTTCATATGGCCTTCCACAAGTCATTTATCTATGTTTCTAGTGTCATATAAATGTAAAGGCAACTGGATGCCTACTATCATCCATTTAAAAATGAACACAGTTTCTTTGACTATAACATAACAGACTAAGTGATATCTAAAGGTTTTTTCTTATTCTAAGACTCTAAGTCTGTGTAACTCTGTGAAAAGGCCACTTGGGTGATGAGGTGGATATGCGAGAGCCCTTGAGGATTATATTTAGTTGACTGTCTTTACATAAACAACAACGAAGCTATTTTACTAATTTGACTTTTAAAAAGAAGACCTGTACATATTCACCAATCGATGCTATTTGGTTAAATCAGCAGCAGAAGCTCCACAGTTGCTATGGTTCCCAAGAGGCCAGCTGTGACTCACTTGCCCAGAGCCCAGGTTTGGGCAAAGGGTAAGTGCATTTGTCCTGCTCATCTTATCCCCGAGACCTAATGCTGTCTTCCTTCCTTGGCCTGTAGGAAGCAAAACGTGAAACATCTCTTTGCCTCTCATTGGTTCCCTTGCCAGACCATCTCCTATTGGCCAGCCCTGACTTTGGCTGGCTCTGCACCCTCATTTCTAGGAAATGTTCAAATGGTCAGCCGGTCCAAGGCCAAATTTAATATTCTGAGCTGCAATCAAGCAAAGGTCACATGCCCATCTCATAGAATCTCAGAATTTTGGAGCAAGAAGGAACCTTATCTACTATATAAACTTCAGTTTCTAGATGAGAAAAAAAATAACCAGAAACTATAATAGTTGTTAATATTCAGGCACTGTGGAAAGGACTATGCTAGATGCTTTCTATCAATTACTTTATTGCCTTCTTACAACAACCCTAAGGGAGCTATTCTTATTACCCCCAATGTTCAAAATGAGGAAACGGAGGTTTTGAGGGGTTTGATCATTTGCACTTGGTTTGTTCAATTTAATCCAAGTGTTTGTTAGTGACAGAAAAAGGAATTTTAACCACGTTCTGCTGATTCTCGGGACACTGGTCTTTCAACTAAAACAATCAATAGGGAGGCAACAGGCATTCATTATGCACCTACCCTGTACCAGGTACTGTGTTGGGTGCCAGGACAATCAGTGGGGTGAGCAAATGAAATGAAATGTTACAGAACACCCTGCCCTTCTAGGCTCTACAGAGGAAAAGAGATTGCCGGGTATGTGCAAAACTGTCTCCAGGGGGGTAAAAACGCTTGATAGAGGCCTGCTTGATGCTCAGAATATCCCCCAGGAAGCGAGAGTGGGCAGACAAGAAGGAAAGCCTCAGTCCGCCTCTTTTGCAAATGAGAGAAGTGAAGCAGAAACAACTAGAGGGTTTGCCCAATACAAGCCAATGAGGTCAACTAGTTTTGGTTCCTTCCATTCCATGCACTGCCAAAATGAAAATCCCATTCAGTAGTCTCTGGTCACCAAAGGACTGGAGGAAAATGATCACGTAAGGCAAATTCTTCTGATAGGAATGATGTTACTCAGCTTCTCACAATTAGTCAAAGAAACCTACTTATTAGAACTTCATCCCTTCCCTCTCTTCTCTTTTGATGTAGACAAGCCAGGGCATGGAGAGTTTTCAAATGAAACCACTAAGAGCTGGGACTGTCAGGGTGGATTATATTACAACTACATTAAAGCCAAGTTATGAATGAACTTTTCCATAACAATACTATTGGAAATAATGATGCGGCCATAACGGAGCACCTGTGCTGTGCCAGAAACTCTGCCGGGTGCTCTGCACAGATGGCCTCACAGCAAACACAGAGGCCAGTCCACGGTCCGTGGGTAGCTTATCAATGTGAGGAGGCCCTTCCTAAGGAAAAGCTAACATCTTTGCTTTTCCAAGTAACGACACTGAAACTCAGGGAAGTTAAGTAACTTGTCCAAAGACAAAAAACTTGTAAGTGGCAAGGCTAGGATTTGAACACAGGTGTCTGACTTGAAATCTCAGGTATTTTTTCTTTGCATTATGTGGCTGCTAACAAAAGATAAAGCTGTTATCATGCACAAAGCACTAACTATAGCCCATGAAAATCATACTAATGCTCCTTAAGAATTATTATAACCTTTCTATTTAGGCAGATCATTATTAGCCCCATTTATAGATGTTGACATCAAGAATCAAGAAAGATTCAGCACCAACCTAGCAGGAGATCGTCAGCTAGAACACTGGCTTCATGCCCAGGATGTTGACCTGCAGACTCCTTACCCTTTCCCACTATCCCATGCTACCACCCTACAGGTGATCCAGGAGAGCAGAAAGGTATTAATGGGAACATGAAACCTCTGGTTGACTTAGAATATCTCCATATCTGACCCCTGAACCAGCCCTGTCGTTTGGTTTCACACACCACATTGTGCAGTGTTCCTTAATGGAGTTGGGCAATCCCACTTGCCCTGTGCTATAATTTATTAGTTGGATCAGAGCCCAATCCCCATGGAGAAAAACCATGCAAAAAGCCAATCACCAAATAGCAATGCAAACTCAAGCCCTAGCCAAGATGCCTTACAGCGACCCCTGGCCCTATGAAGCATAGACCCACAGAGCATCTGAGGGGTGGTGATACCTGAGGCACTGGGGAGGTCACTGGTCTCACAGGGCCTCCTGAAACAGCCACATAAGAAAATTCATATATTGACTATAATTGGATTGCTTAACTCTAGTCACCCAAGCAAGAGTGTACAACCGTACACAATCTGGCCATGGGTTTTCAGGTGGACAGGAGTGAAGAACATTCAGTTCAGTTTTTCCCTGGAACTTGGGTGCTCAGAAAAACAATGATCTTTAAGCTCAGACCATGGGCTTCACCTTCCCCTTGACAAAGTGAACGTAGAAAATATTAAATTATGTGTTCCTTTGGTGCTTTCTTTTTTTCAAGTTGTCTTTAACTGCCAGATTTTAAGTAATTGATGGCTTTTGGAATCCACAATTAAAGGATTTGCCACCTGGAATGAGACAGTTTTACTAACAGGGAGTAAGTGCAGTGATCACACTAAACGAGGCCTGGCATGTTTATCCAGCCAGCAGCAAGTGCCAACCAGTGGGGGAAATGAAGCAGTTATGGGTGCTAACAAGAAAGGACACTCCAACGATTTCTTTTTGTGTTTTTTTTTTTAAGGAAAATGTGATCGCAGTAACTCTCTCTTGTTCCTCTTTCCACATAGATTGGTGGGTGTGGGTGGAAGGGCAGAAGAAATGACCGCTGGAGAGGTCAAATGTTGGAGAAGTCTTCTGAAATGACTCTCTCCGGTCCACTCATCTAGGGGAAGAGACAGATTCAGGGTCTTTGAAGAATCAATAAATGCATCTTTGCCTGCAGCTTACGGCTGTTTGAGAAGAACAAGAATCAATGATGAGACAAAGCAACACAGACTGTCCGTACAAGACACCGCACTGCTAAGCAGGTGGGTAGGCACAGACTTGGATGGACTGACATGTCACCCAGCCCAGAGGCCTGGCCTGGCTACCAGCTGCCCAGCCCAGCCCAAGGAGGCAAGAGCACAATAGGCTACACACCCGCTTCTCACCCGCAGCCCCACACCACTTCAAAGGCCACAGCAGGCAGCCAACAAACTTGCCTCTTTTGTGGCGTCTTTCATTTAGTTTTGTGTTGTTGTTTTTTTCATCAAGTGGGAGGGAAATGAGTTTGGGCTCAACAGAGATCAGGGTGAAGGGAGGGCAGGGTGGGGGATGCAAATGATAGAATATAAGTGAAAGCTTTTTTAAACGTCTAGATCCACAGTCTCACTGATTGTTATAAAGGGAACACAGTCATTTCCATGCCTCTCCATCCTTCTTTAACCCTTACCTCCAACACGGAGAAGACAAGGAAGAAAGGAGGGCTGTAATCGGAGGGTTTGCAGAGGCGCAGCTCTTCCCTGCACAAGGCTCAGCAGTCGGGGGTCGGCTGGAAGGGGCCCCCCGCCCCCCGCCGGGCACGGAGACACGCAGCCCCGCTCACCTTCTCGATCGCCTGGTCCACGGCCTTCTGGAAGACCCGGGCCACGAGCAGCGTGACGCTGGTCACCAGCAGGAGGAGGGACAGCGTCCCCACCGCGTAGAAGCAGCACCTGCCCATGCTGCGCGCGGCTCACTGGCCGGGCGGCGCACGCCCGCGACCCGCCGGAAGGAGGGGAGACGGGCACCTTCGGATGCCGGCGGCCCGGGAGGGAACGAGCCGCTTCGGTTTCGATTTCCCTCCCCGGGGCAGCCTCGGCGCCGCCCGGCGCTGCTCCGGAGCCGGAGAGGGAGCTCGCAGGCCGCGGTTCGCCAGCCGGCTCGCCGCACACTCGGGAGAGCACTGCCAGCAGCCTGCGCGGGCGGCGGGCGGGGCGGAGGCTGAGCCCACAGTCATGTGCCCCGCGGCGGCCGCCGCGATTCGGCCCGCGCTCGTCCCGGGCGGCCCCCCAGCGCCTGCGGCTCCCTGACCCCTCCAGGCCCCGCCGCGCCCCCTCCGCTCGCTGCAGGCCCCGCGGTCTCCTCCAAACGTCGCCGCCTGTCCTGCCCTCGCTGGCTTGGCTCCATGGATAGAGCGTGGGTCTGCAAACTAAAGGGTCCCAGGTTTGATTCTGGCCAAGGGCACAAGCCTGGGTTGCGGGCTCGATCCCCAGTAGGGGGCGTGATTCTCTCTCATCATTGATGTTTCTCTCTTTCTCTCTTCCTCTCTAAAATTAATATATATATATATATATTTTAAAAAGTCCTCCTGGGCTCATTCACACACCCACTCAGCGCATATGTACTGCAGGCCTACCAAGTGCTGGGCATTCAGGATGGATACAACCTTGCCCCTGCTCTCGGCAAGCTCACAGGGTGGCGGGGACACTGTCACACCATTGTGGCCCAGTGTAACCTGCTTTCACAGGTGAGTGCTGAGGCCTGTGCAACAAGCACGTTCTGTCCTGTGACCCGGGGCCCCATAGTTGAACTGGGCTTTGGGGATGTGTCAGGGTTGTCACCTGAGGGGTGTGTGCCAAGGAAGGAAGAGGCATTCCAATGAGAAGGAAAAGATGTGCTAAGACATTGAGGGTGAAAGAGCAAGACTGTAGGAGGAAAGAAAGAAGGTCCTTTTGATGATAGGCCCAGGGGAGCAGCAGGTGGCGTGGGAGGTGTTGAGAAGCCTCGGGTCAGACCTTGAAGGGCTCTTTGTGTCCCATAGAAGAGTTGGGACTTGATCTCTCAGCCGTGGGAGTCAGCAAGAAGTTTCAAGCAGGTGGCCCTGACGTGGACATCAGCTTTGCTCACCATTATCTCCCAGGCACCTGGGCTAAAGTCTGCACACAGCAGGGACTCCATAAATATTAGTGGAATGAATGTCAACTATATGCCAGGCCTTGGCTAGGTGCTTACATACACCCACCTATTTAATATCCACAGCAGCCCTGTGAACTTGTAGCTGTTTGTCCCCGTCCCTCAAAAGCAGTGCCAGCCAGGAGCACTGTGCAAGGGACTTAGGAGGGAAATGGACAGAGGGCCGGACCTGGGATGCAGATGTGATCCTTGTGAAGGAGAGAGGCAAGGAAGGAAGGCTGGATGGAAGGAAGCATCTTCTACGGCAGTGCAACCCTTAAGAAAGTTCAGCAAGGCCCCGGAGGGTCCGTGCGCCAAACTGGCCTATCTCAGGAGCCAGCACTTTCCAGGCCTCTAGTACTTGGTCGTGGGCTAGGAGCAGTCCTAGGAAACTGGCCTGGGCACCAAGCGATGAATATCAGAGGACTGATTTCAGGGCTCAGCATCTGGGCAGTTATGCTCTGCACTGGAAAATCTGAGCAGTGCATTTCCTTGGCCTCCATAGCAGTAGCATTCCCACTTTACACACCAGGAAACCGCAGCTCCCCCAGATAAGTAGTAGCCTGACAAGCCCAACCAGTTGCTGAGTGGTGGATCCTGCCTGGACCAGAATGCAGGCCTAGTGGCCTCGGAAACCCTCCCGTCATCTCCCCTGGGCATTGCTGCCTCCCAGCTGCCATCAAGGAGAGGCTGGGGACAGGGAACTCAGCTGGGGGACTCTGCTAAGGACTCGGTGAGATGCTGTGATGCATTAAAAATGGTGGCAAAGCCCTAACCGGTTTGGCTCAGTGGATAGAGCATTGGCCCAGGTTCGATTCCAGTCAAGGGCATGTACCTTGGTTGCAGGCACATCCCCAGTAGGGGGTGTGCAGGAAGCAGCTGATGAATGTTTCTCTCTCATCGATATTTCTAACTCTCTATCCCTCTCACTTCCTCTCTGTAGAAAAATCAATAAAATATATTAAGAATAAAATAAAATAGATCTTAAAAAAAAAAAAGCCCTGGCTGGTTTGGCTCACTGGATAGAGCATCAGCCTGGGGACTGAAGGGTCCCAGGTTCGATTCTGGTCAAGGGCATGTACCTTGGTTGCGGGCACATCCCCAGTAGGGGGTGTGCAGGAGGCAGCTGATCGATACTTCTCTCTCATTGATGTTTCTAACTCTCTATCCCTTTCCCTTCCTCTCTGTAAAAAATCAATAAAATATATATTTTAAAAAATGGTGGCAAGTTCTTGGACACTCCTGTGGAGAGGTGAGATCTGTAGCTTCTTCCTTTGACTTTGTGCTGGATTTAGTGATTTGTTAAATCAATAGAATATGGTTGAAATCACCATATCCTGGCACTTCTGAAGCTGGATGACAAATGTCTTACAACTTTTGCCTGGGCCTCTGGAACTCGTTGCTCTTGGAGCTCTGAGCCACTACGAAGTCAGGTACCCTGGGACTTCCGTGCTGGACAGGACCCGGGAGAGACCGCAGAGAGACGCCTCCAGCCAGCAGGAGGAGAGATGCCTGGTTGGCCTTCCAGTGACCGAGCCATTTGAGTCATGGGCCGTAGACACATGGAGCAGAGTGAACCCTCCTTGCCCTGCCCGAAATGCAAAATGAAGGATTGTTGTTTTTGGCGTAGTGTGTTACTAAGTTTTAGGTAATTGGAACAGATTGGGGGGGGGGGGCTGAGCCTGGAACATTGGCAGGGACAGTGGCTGCCCACTCCCAGCTCTACCCAGCTGAGCAGCAGCCCCAGAGAACCAGACCTGGGTGGGGTCTGGAATGACACAAGTCTTCCAAGTGTCATGGCCACAGTGTCTGGGTGGTTCCCCCACCTCACATATCCACAAGTGGCAGCCCCTGATTCTGCCCCATCTCTGCTGTAGGTCCCAGCTATCTAGCTAAGCTCTGCCCTGTGCCCCAGTGTGCCTAACCAGCCATGCTCGCCCACTCATCCTCACTCATCCCCTTCCTAGGCATCTTCTGCAGTCTCTGTGTGTCCTCTCTCCTTCATTAACGAGAAGAAAGATGATTTGGTAACCTGCCTGCCTGAGTATGCAGCACCTAGCAGTTCAGGCTCCAATTGAACCTCCTCTCCCAACTAAGACCAGGTTTTCTGTTTGCTGGCTCCACTCTTGGGAGCAAACCCCATCATCACCCACCTGCGCCAGCCCCGGACCACCAATCCCTGCTCAGTTTTCCTTCTCATTGTTCATTGAGGTCCCTTTTGGCCTCTTGTCTGGTCCAGGAGGGAGTAACAGACCTTGGGAGGGAGGGAGAGACTCAGATTTACTAAACTCATCTCTGCGTGGGGAGAGCTTCTGAATGAGAGTTTCCAACCCAGTGGCCCTCCGTTTACCTGCCCCCTGAGGTTCCCTCGCTCGGGCAACACCACTCTGTCGTCCCCACTGTCAGGCAGCTGGTAAGCTGCTTCCCCTTTAAAACTCTGGTTCAAATGACAAAAACCTCTTTCTTGGTTTCTCTTAGCACAGCTGACCAGACTAGAATTTTAAAAACGTATTAAACAATAAGAGAGAACAGGAAGGACCTAATTACAGAAAATCCAAACAACTTAATACACAACCTTATATCCCCAAAATAGCCATCTGTGTGATCCCACAGTAACTTCTGTCTCATTGTGAGGAGCAGACACCTGGCCTGGCTGTCTTCCTGTCCATCTTCTCCCCGACCCCAGGGCAGCTACTGACAGGGACTTTACTCTGAGCCCCCAAATTCTCAGACAAGCTTCCCAAAGCCCCTCCTCATTTCTGATCCCCAGGACACGGCACTATGAGGTCGTGTGTGTGTGTGTGTGTGTGTGTGTGTGACTATGAAGTCGTGTCTGTGTCTGTGTGTGTGTGTGTGTGTGTGACTATGAAGTCGTGTGTGTGTGTGTGTGTGACTATGAAGTCGTGTCTGTGTCTGTGTGTGTGTGTGTGACTATGAAGTCGTGTATTTGTGTGTGTCTGTGTGTGTGTGTGTGTGACTATGAAGTCGTGTCTGTGTCTGTGTGTGTGTGTGTGTGTGTGTGACTATGAAGTCGTGTGTGTGTGTGTGTGTGACTATGAAGTCGTGTCTGTGTCTGTGTGTGTGTGTGTGACTATGAAGTCGTGTATTTGTGTGTCTGTGTGTGTGTGTGTGACTATGAAGTCGTGTATTTGTGTGTGTGTGTGTGTGTGACTATGAAGTCGTGTATTTGTGTGTGTGTGTGTGTGTGTGTGACTATGAAGTCGTGTATTTGTGTGTGTCTCTGTGTGTGTGTATGTGCGCATGCTGGCACACCACAGGATCAGCTCACCCTGCAGGTGACACTCCACCTCCCCATACAGGGTGTGGCTGCTGCATGGCAGGTACGACTAATGACTCTGCAGGGCGGGCTGTGTGGGAGGAGATTAGTGCTTCTACTAGGTAGACGGGAGGCTAACACCCTGGCAGGGAGGCAATCAGGAGCTTTGCCTATGGCAAGCATGTCAAACTCAAAGGCGAACACGGGCCAGATAACCAAGATTTAAGTTTATGTGGGCCGCAAAAAAACCCACAAAAAACAAAAGCTTTAATTTTCATAGAAACGTAGGTTTATTTAGAAAGGTATAGTTTTTTTAAAAAAAGAACAAGAGCCATGATAAAATCAATGTTTTCTTCCTGATACTTGGTATCTCTTCTCTGCTACTATCTTTCCTACTTCAGGGGAAATCTTGTTCACAGTAATTACTTTCAAAACTAACCCAAGGTGAATGTCAGTAATTCTGGATCTGACAGGAGACTTATTTCCTTCTATAATTGTAAACAACTGTTCACACCGATAAGTACTTCCAAACATAGAAATAATTTCTCATGCGAATTTTCAAGTATTTTCAAACCTGGCAGGTAAATATTTGTAAAATTCAGGCACGCCAACTTCACTGAATTTTGCCTTCAAATCTGAATCACACTGGATCTCAATTACCCCCATTTGCATTTGATTAGGTACTAATTCTATGTTTATTGAAAAACTCGAAGAAAACTTGCCTTCCAAAAATT